AGTCATAGGTTGTAAATGACATATTCAGTCAAATGCCTTCAACTTACTTATGACTCAGTCAGACCAGTCAGTTAGTGGGACTAATAATAGCCACTGAGGACCAAATTGGTTCTTATTTTATATCAATACTGTGTTCAGTGTTGAGCGAATTGCAGACACTATTACCCAGCTTTAATGAATTACTGTCTGTTTTAAATCTTTGTCTAAAAATGCATTTGCCTTAGTTCAACTTGAATTTCCTCAATATAAATGTTAAAAATTAAATTAAAATTAAATTATTATCTGATCGAAGGACAGTATTTTATTTTTAAATACTGCCTGTTACTTAAGCTCCAGTGCATTAAAGATAGCTTATTTTGTGACTTAAGTCTAGTTTATTTATCTTTAATATATTCCTTAGGTGTTTCATTAAAAAATATAGAGCTAAAGTTTGTGATAGCTTATGTTGCTAAGAATTAACTCCTAATTCAAATACATTTTAGGCAACTAAACAAGATCAGTAAAGGATTCATTTTTCTATAATTTTACACTTTAGATTGATAATCTAAAGTAAAATATTAAAGTAAAATATTCTGTTTTTAAAAATATTTTAGTACTTAAAGAATAATTTTAAGTTAAAACATTGAAGCTAATAAAGAACAGCTAACAAATATCTCATATTTACAATGTTGATTAAAAATTTGTAAAAATATACCAGTCTTTTTAACCTTATTTAAATAATAGAAAAAATTAAGATTACTTTGTTTTTATATAAATAAAAACACAAATATGTTTTCAATAGCTACATCTTTATACATTTTGAAAATTCCTTTATTATTTGTACTCTCTTAATTAAAAGTATATGTAATTTGTTAAGTAGATTTTGTTCATAATTTTGTAATTAAATTGTGTATGGCTTTATTAATCCTATCCAAGATTAGAAATGTGTGCAAAGCCCATCAAAATAGTCTCCATATTAAAACTAAATTGACTCAATCCATTGAAAAGACAAAACAACTAAATCATTACTATGTACCCTGTAAGTATTCAGCCTTTGAAGGCTTTGTGACAGTAACTCTGCCACCTGATGGAATTAATTTATGAGCTAACAGTACTAATGGCCCTGCCCCATCTCTTGTTCTATAATAAGTCCCAGTGGAATCTGCCTGTAAAGGATAGTCATGTGATAATTTTCAACTGTTTGACTTGCTCTAAATGCCAACCAATTGACTACAAATATTTTCCTTCCAGGATAGTCAGAGCCTTGTAAAATGTGAATCTATTCATGGGGAAATGAACAATAACTGTTTATAACTTGGGTAATACTACTATCAAAGAAGGACAGAGAATATAATTAAAGAAACGGTTTCAAGTTAGTGATAGAAAATCCAAACAAGGCTGTATTTAGCAATCTTGTGAGTATTTTTCCAATTAAGGACATTACTCTATCAGACACAAAATTAAATCAATTTTGAAGTGGGGACAGATAGGAAAACAAAGGCTGAGTTAAAAAAAAAAAATCCCTTGACCCAAAGAGGTCTGCAACACATAGTTTTGAGACACAGCAGAAAATGAATTGGCTGTACCTTGCTAACAAAAGTATTCAATACCAGGGCAGGTGGTTAAAGTGAAAATTTCGAAGGTTCCTTAGAGAGAAAAGTATTCCCTAAAGCTGTTTCGTTCTCATAAAGAAGAATAAAAAATTTTCTATGTATACTCAATCCTCTGGTACATAGTTTTCCCATCTAGACTGAAACTGGATTTATTTACTCTGTTACAGTCTGGAGTACTACTGTTCGATGGAAATATAATGAGAGCCTGGTAATTTAAAATTTTCTAGTAGCCAATTTAAAAACAGTAAAAAGAAACAGGTGAAATAATTTTAATAACATTTTAGTTACCCCTGTATATCCAAAATATTATCATGTCAGCATTTAATCAACGTAAAAATTATTCATGTGATGTGCCTAGTTGCTCAGTCATCTCTGACTCTTTGCAACCCCATGGACTGTAGCCCGCCAGGCACCTCTGTCCATGGGATTCTCCAGGCAAGAATACCGGAGTGGGTTGCCATGCCTTCCTCCAGGGGATCTTCCCAACCCAGGGATCGAACCCAGGTCTCTTGTATTGCAAGTGGATTCTTTACCATCTGAGCCATCAGAGAAGCCTTAATATGATAGTTTACATTATTTTTCTTTGGACTAAATCCTCAAAATCTGGTGTGTATTTTATACTTACAGCATATCTCAATTCGGGGTATCCACAACCATGTGTGGGCTAGTGGCTACTGTATTGACTAGCACGAGTCTTTATTTCCTGAACTTTATTTCCTCCAAGAATTGATGGTTCACATATTTTTTTCCTTCATTTCCTTCCTCCTTTTTTCTCATTAATACACATTTGTTTCCATACTGTTTGATTTAAAGTGTTAGTCTAGGACAGAAGGAACTTAAGCTTCCATGAAGAGCTTGACATATTGTTTGCAAAGAATTACTAATAAAATGAAACAAAAAGAGCAATTCTCAGGGGTCAGACAATTTCTGAGTTCAGGTCAGCGGGCCAACTCTTCTGTTTTGTTCAGTTTGTTCAGTGTACTATAGATGACTTGACTGGAATATGCCTGGCTAAATCTCTCTAAAAGTAATCCTAAGAATCACATAATAAAAAAGTGCTTCAATATATACTACACTTACCAATCTGTAGAATGGACAGTTACTAAACTAGTTAGGCACTCAGTGTTTCAAAGACTCATTCTGTATTTTATCAATTATGATTGTCCTGAAGATATTATTGAGACAGCAGCAATTAGCTTCTGACATTTCTGAAATCTGCGAATGAGCACCAGTGATGAGGATGAGTCACTGTGTCCCGCAGGATGTAGCACTATGTCATAGGATTCTACAGGAGACACGGGACAGACATGTGTCGAGACACTAATACATTCACACAAGATAACGAGTAAGAATGTGGTATGGTACACAGATTGGATGCTGTGGTTGCCATGAGAAGTACTCACTTTTTCAGATCATTCTGCTGCTTTTTGGCTTGTGCATGCCACTGGTGCATAGCAGGGAAGAAGCCACTTGTGTGTGGTGGAAAAAGTATATCAACTAATAAAACCACATTTGACTGGGAAATAATTGTATCACAGCTGTCACAGGATTAATTTCACAAAATTATCAACACAATAGGTGCATTGCATTTTATGAATCAGGACTCTTCATTTGCTGATTCATAAATTAGCCAGTATGCAACAAGAATATGGTGCATCAAAGAAAGCATTAGATCATCTTCATGCAATAAAATTGTAACTATTACTTCAAAAACAGTTAATGCAACATTAGACAGGGATTAAAGAAGGAACTTGGTACACACAAATATTCTGAATATGAGAAAATGGTAATAACCACAGTTGCTTTTCTGATTAAAAAAAATCCAAATTCTTATTTTGCATTAAATTTAGTTTAGGTTATTGAGGTAATTTTGGACATTTGAAAAGGATTACTAGGCACTAGAGCCTGTCCTAAATTCTGATGTCCTGAAATGATTTGTTGCAGCACAATTACGCCAACTGCAAATTTGGAAAGGTCTTATCTACTGGTGAATATGGCTCTACCGTTAGCCGAGAATTCCAAGTAGCTCTCACCTCCCATAGCATTTACCCGAGGAACTGTGGACTGTCTATTTTGGACATGGATTCTACAAAGGGCAGGAAATCAATGTAAAACTGTACATGTTTTACTATGTAAACTAATTAAAGAATGGGGGCCTTGGTAAATATCAAGCAAATTTCTTTCCAACATTACTTGTGTCATTGGCAAGAAGTATCTCTTCTTTTGGATAAAACAAGACAAAAACCAAAAACTAAAAAAAAACTCACAACATAAGATTATCCCAAAGTCCTGGGAATCTTCAATAACTTTTATTATTCCATTTTGATGTAATATGTTATAATTTTCATTACTTACAACATAGTGTTTAGAATAAAATAAAACCACACATGTTGGCAGCAGCTGGGGATGTGATCTGATGCTATTCTAAAAATAAGTTGCCATAATTTAGCTTTTGATATAAATGCCTTTCATGAGGAATTTAAATGGACATTTTTCTAAATTGAGACATGTTCATATAATTGGGACTGAATCACTGCACTTACTATTGCATTATGGAAAAAAAAGAAATGTTTAATATAACAATCTAATCTAAATTATAAGATAAATGCAAGTAAAAATATTTTGCATTTAAGAATTTAAAACTGATAGTTCCACAGAGTGGTGATGAGTATATTATACATATGTATGTGGATTTTACAGGGTGTTTCAAAAGTCCCTGAGGACATACAGGATTCACTCTCGGCATGTCTTTGCATACAAATACAAACCTTTTTCTATACTTGTTATAATAAATGCTGAAAATGGCCCTCATGTGCTTTTAATAGAGATGATATTTTTGTTGCCAAGGTCACCAAATAGAAGAAGGGTCACAAATGCCATTTTCTGCATGGGGACTCAGGGACTTCTGGCTCATTCCTGTAAATTAGTCATCCACATAAATATGTATAGACATATATGTAGTATGCATAGTCACAACATAAATATATTTAACATTTAAGAAAATTTAGATATTCTACTGGTAAACTGACATATGTATGCAATATAAGTTGTATTTATCCATAGGAATTTTTTTTGGTTGTTGTTGTTCAAATGTACCATTATCTTAATTGTACTTTCCCAAGTTAACAAGACTCCTTTATAAAGAAGCAACATGTTTTACTTGCACATACATTTTCTTAACTAAAGTTGAGTAATGAAAATTAATCCACACGAATATGTAACTAAATGATGGAATTTTCATTTAAGTAATTTTGGTTTTCGTTTTATACTGTATAATTGTTTCATTGAAACTATGTTTTTTAAAAATTGGATCGAGTTAATGTTTTTTTTTTTTTCTAGTTAAAAATCAAAATATCTGATATATTAACATATGTCAGCTTCCTACAGGAACCCTAAGGGTCTGCCCACCTGTGATGTCATAGTAAGGAGGGGCTTTTCTTCAGCAGACTGCTCCCTCGGTATCTCCTTCATCACCATGGCAACAGCCTTATCTGCCGCCCTAGAGCCTTTTCCCTATAACAGTGAAATCAACAATGACTTGTGTCAGGAGAAATGTTTAACTTATTATTTATCACAAGATATTCTAATGTTTAAAGAGCAATCCAACATAAATGAAGAGGTAGGCTGCTGCAAGTGAATCTTGAGGCTTTTGGCTGAGGAGAAAACACATGAAATCTGAAAAAAGATTATTTGTGAACTTTTTAGTTAGCTACTTTTCCACCTTTACAGCTGACATATTTAATTTTAACATAGTATTTTATATGTGTAATATATTTTAAGGCAATTTACATGACATGACAATTTTTATAGTATTGATTTTAAAACATTATGGATTGCCTGTTTTGTTCATTTAAAATTATTCCTGTATAATCTCTAAGTGTTTTAAATGACAGTATGGAGTCTAGGATAGGGATTAGGATCAGGGTCTCACTCCCACAGAAAAATTTTGCTGGGTGGTCTCTGGAGCCTGTCACTTTTAATTGGATTGGGCACAAAAATAAATGTGTCATAAAACCTCTAAAAATTCTTCAGCAGCCTAAAGTCACAGAAATTCACCCAGCTTGTTTATTTTGGGGGAGGTACTATGTAAAAAAATGCAACTCTCAATGTTCTTGAGATCAAAAAATGTTAATAGAATTTTAGAAATGTCTTTTAATTGGGGAATCTCATAAATCCACATGTAAATAAATGATGATTAATGATAGAGGCACTGATATGTACAAATTTTTGGTCTCACACAAACATAATTATGAACTGTAAAGGGGTATGCTGGCTTTCTATGGTTTTAGTTTACCAGATTATTATGTTTTTGAGGGTAGATGGGGCATAATAGGAAAAAAAAACCCCAGAAAACAAAATATCACCTTCCCAACCCAATTAGCAACACCTCATACTATGTAAAAATTAAATCATCTTTAAGCACTTTAAAAACAAAAACTTCCACTGTCCTTAGTCTGTGGGCAGAGCCTCCCTGAAGAAGACCACCTTATACTAGGTACAATGTGAATATCTGTGTTGCAAATTTATGTAAAATACAGATGCAGCATACAGAGATACCATAGGCAAGAAAACAAAAATGGACATATGAGGGTCCATTGTCTGAAAGGAAGTTAAGAGCTAGGATCAATATTAACTCTAAAGATTAATAAATCTTGATAGTCTCTATGCAACTAAAAAGGATAGACTTACATTATTATCTTTGGTTTGCACAGGGCTTTAAGTATTTAGAAGGTAGGCTGACTCTAGGAAGCAGAACATCCATTTTTTCAAGCGTTGCCTTTCTAAAATGTAACGTGTGGCAGTTTTTATTTATGAGAACCAAGAAAAACTTTGTCTAGTTACTATATTTAAAATTGTGTGAATCTCTTTACCATGCTGAAAGCTTGTTTCTTTGGTTTGTTATCCTAAGAACTAGCATTATTGAAAAATAATGTGTTATTTCTACAATATAATATCAACTATAAGAGATTTTATTGAGCAGATATAACAGCAGTAATTTAAGTGTTCTGAAAAGTTTATATGGCTACAATGCTTAGATATAATTTAATTCTGGAAGAATAAAGGGAAACAGTGGTTAACTGCATAACAAATTGGGGTACAAAATGATCCCAGGTTTTTCCTTTAGTAAAGCATTGTCATCTTCCTAATATACATACAGTTCTGAATTCTGGAAAATGATTCATGGCACTGCTAAACTATCTGACATATTTTCAATGTAAAAATTACTTGGATAAAACATTATATACAATAAGTTCAGTATGTCTTTATAAGCTACACTCATTTACAAACTTTATATAGTTTAACATATTTTTGCAGCGTGTTTTTTCAAAAGAGCAAAATCATTTGTGAAGAATTCTTTCCATGCTCCAAGTGTAATAATATAGCAATAAACAAAGTGGCATGCTTATATTAAATTCCTAATATATTTTAAAAATATATCTAATGTTACAAGTTATAATTTAAAAAATAATTCAGATTATTTCCTTGGGCTAAGAAAAAAAAATCAATTGATAAGCATCTCAAAAAATTTCAGGTCAGTAGTTCAATTATACTACTTATTTGAAATGCTACCAATCCGTAAACTATGTATAGGTATTTTTCACATGTGCAACTATAATAGCTAGAATTAGCAACGGACATGCCATTTCACTAAAACAAAACCAAACCAAAACAAAAATTAGTCCTTTCATGCTGAACTCTAGAACAAAGCAGTGGTCAGCTAGAAAGGATATATAATAAATACATGCGGTGCTTTTTATTTCTTGCAGAAAAACCCACCAAAGCCAGGGTCAGGTCACTTTTTTGAAGACAGTGCCACTTTTTCTTCAAGGTTACACCTACTACCTGAAAAAAGTCATGACACCCAGGTTAGTGCCTGCTAGCAACTTTGTTTCCTTTACAGCCTCTTGGCTTTTGAGTTATTACCTGATGAACTTCACTGTTTCGGAAGTGCGGTACAGCCCCAGAACAGAGTGGGAAGGCTGGCCACGTGACATGTCCACAGTTCCAGACAGAGTGTCTAAAACCACTGCCAAGTCATGTGAATGCGCTTTACATGTCAAAGCAAGATCCCCCCAGGTCATATTGCCACCTCTACCTTAAAAATTAAAATCAAGATTTTATCTTAAAATCAAGCTGTGTTATTTCTGACTTGTCCATTTATCTTGTGGGATAATGCTTCTAGAGTTCAGAACCTGGCAGGTAACTGAGTTGACAATTCATGAAACTATACAACTTGGCTTATCAGCAGCTCTCCAGGACTGACAGTAATACAACTGTGCAGGTTTTACTTTTCTTTTTTAAATTCAGTGACTTAAAACATTGTAAGAAAGAAATACACATAATTATTCATACTTCAAGTTTAATTTTCTAAATATAACTACACCAAAAGATCAATATTAATCTATTATTTGAAACAACAAGCAAAAAGGAAATATATACTGACTATACACTCAAGTATATAAATGGATTTAGATTACATTAAGCCAGTATGCTTCTACATCATTCTAGCCACAGCAGAAAAGAACAGTGAAATTTTGCAAGTTGATTATCACATCATGACACCCTCCAGAAATTATTTCAGCCCATTTTTTTCCAAATAATACTTCAAAATCACCCTTTTCCACTTGTTCATTTAATCTCGAGATATTTTTGACTGTTTTGCAAACAGTATCAGCATAAAGGGAAATGTCTTTCATTTTGTGTGATTTGCTGGAGAAAATTCTTTGATTTTTTAAAGTTTCTTTTATCATTTTGTTTGTTCACAAATGAAATATATAAAATAGTAGCTTTTCTAATAAATAATAATTCTTGAGAATAATTTTTAATTTCTATTATAACACCAGGCATAAATGAATGAAACACAGGGAGTATAATAAGTGACACTAACGTTTATTATGAAAACTCAATTTTGGCCCACTTTTGTTTTTTTAGTATAGAATGTAAGAAGCAGAGTAGATGGAATTCTCCAGGCAAGAATACTGGAGTTGGGTGCCATTCCCTTCTCCATGGGAGCTTCTGACCCAGAGACAGAACCCAGGCCTCCTGCATTGCAGGCAGATTCTGTTACTATCTGAGCCACCAGGGAAAACACTGGAAGTCACAGAATCTTGGGCTGAATATCAGGCTGTGAAGGTATCAGGTATCCTCAGATGAGGTGCTGGCTCCAAGTCTGTCTTGCAGGGAAGGGATCTAACCTCTTTGGAGAAGCTACTGTGCGCTGAGCACGCTGCTGGGTGTTTTGCCCGTTTTTATTGATTTGATCTCATAAGGACTCTGTGGGGTAGATGATATTATTGTCTTTGCTAGACAGTTGGGGGCTTTGAGGCTCAGAGACAGTACGGTGTGGTTTAGCCAAGGCCTGAAAGCTAATCCAGGATGGGAACCCAGACCCACAGCCCAGCCTGTGTGTTTCCTTGTTTACCACTCTGTTCTCTCTCTATCTGGCTGTGTGAGGTGGAAATGGTCAGTAAAAATCAGCCACCCATAACTGCACTCATGAGCACATTTCTAAAAAAATGTGTTCGTTTCTACTATTTTCATAGAAAACCAACCTAAGCATCTCACGTATACACACTTCTTTCTGTTCTGTAGATCTTAATAGAGATTTATAAATTTTAGCATCTAATTCTTTTAAAATGCTAACTCAATGCCACTAAATGCCATGTTTACTAGAATTATCCTGAGATCTATTTTGGACACATGAAATAAAGTAATTTCAGGGTTACATCATCAGCAATTTTCTAGTTGCTGCTACTATGGAATTTGTAACTTAAACATTATTTTTATCATTGTTTTAAGGATAAACTACAATCAGGTTTATAAGTATGAATGCATTGAATATATTTCCTTATACATAACATATATGTAAACAAATACCTGCCATTTGGATCATTTTAGCAGAACTGTTTGAAATGAAATGATATTCAATATTGCATATGTTGAAAAATTATATATTTCATAAGCTCAGACTCTGGACTTACATGCAGAAACTGGTCACAAAAAGGCTCATTTCTGATGGCTATTCTTGTTGCTTATGTGCAGAGCCAGGATAACCTTTTTTACTCGAGAAGGTAAATGTCATGGAAAGTGTCATGCTCTCTTCAAACTTCTCTTTCAACACAGGAAAATGTCAGAGCAATATTCCTTGAATAGTAGCGATCTCTGCCGACCACATTATGTCCTTTCCTAGTTGTGTGTTCCTGTAGATTTCTTCCAACATGGAGTAGGGCTCAAACCATTCTATTACAGCAACATTTAACTCATTCCCTTCTTCCCCTGTCAACAAAATGTTTTGTAAATTTTAAAATTTACAAATAGAACTAAATCTGAACAAACTGGTCAATCCTTGTTTCTAAACATTCTGAAGGAAGCACAGATCTGGATGTAAATAATTGGGAAGCACAGACAGAATTCTCTCTTTTCTTAATTTGTGACTCGTATGTGGAATTCACAAATCATAATGAATTCACCACTGGTTCAGTGATTTGTTTATAGCTGGAAATAATATGATTATTGATTCTTTATTAAGGGTAGTCTTCATGACTTTTATAGGTCCTCAAACTTTTGCTTTCATGGGACCCTTTTTCCCTAAAAAATGTAGAAGGTTGTATTTCATGACTAAGCTGAATCAAGAAAAACATAATACAGACCAGATTTGCTATTAATATTACAAATTCATTACAAAGTCATTTGAGGGATTCTGATTAAGATAGATAAGATGATAAGATAGATAAGATGAAAGTATTTTTATGGGTCCTTAAGAGTATCTTGGGCCTTCTGAATTGTGTTCAGCGTGCCTGGTATGTAAGTTGACCCTGGGTTACTGTCTTCTCCACAGTCAGGGTGCTGGCCCTGGAGCTGCTCTCTCTTCCACATCTGGGTGGCCCATTTTGGCAGCGACTGCTTCCACCACCCCGTCAGCACTTCCATCACAGCTGTTCCTGCCCTAACAGGTCCCCTAACCACCACTCCTGCTCTTACTGTTCTTACTAGCATTCAAAGAATCTCCCCTAAAAGCACTCACAAATCATAATGGGTGCCCAATCAGTAGCACTCATCTTGTAGTTCTTAAAACACACTCAGAAAACTTGGAACATTTAGTCCTAAAGCAGAACACGCTGGCGTGTAAAACTGATGGTGACTCTTAAAATGTTGTCTCTCCCCAGAAAATTAGGCCTCAGCACTTTAGTCTCTCCAGCCTCAGAGTGTCTTCTTGACCATCCAAGAGTACTTTTGAGGAAGCGAGTCAATATCTCTTTTTTAAAAAAAAACAAATCAGCCTTCAGCGACCAGAGTCACCAACTGGTTCCAAAACACTCCTTGTCATTTTTTCTAATTACACTTAGAAAAGGGACTTGGGTCCCTTGAGGAACAGAATTGCCCTGTACCCAAAATTTCTGAGTTGTACATGCAGATTAAGCTTCTCCTGGGCACCTTGCTATATAATCCTTCATTGAGAAAAAAGGTTCTGTGACTATTTTATCGATGAAATTACCTTGTGTGAGCAAAGGCTGTGCTCGTTTCTTTTGAAATACTTGCATTATTTGGTATAGTGATAGAGACTCAAGTTTACTCAGTATATACAAGTAACTATTAAAAACCTTTTCAAATATTTAAGATATTGATATCACATAATATGGCTAAGTTTGACAGAAGGTGATTTTGAATTACATAAACAGTCTGAATTAGGCATTTAAAGAAATTAAATAGTTTCAAGTATCTAAATAAAAATTCATTAAAATTAATAAAGTGTTGCCAAGTAAAGATGCTTAAAATTGGCTCTGAAGGACAGATAAGACTTCCTTCTAATTAATAAGATCCATTTGCTCACAATTTACCATTTGTTTGTTCTCTGGAGAAGATTAAACATTCCCCATCTCACTCCCACCTTACCCCCAGGCTTATTTACTCTGCTTAGCAAGCTTTCTTGACAAAAGGTCAAAGTCACAATGCTTAGTTCCCAATCATCTATAACAGTTCTCAATTAGTGAAGTTTTATTATTAGGCTTACGCTGATTAATGTCACTCAATTATTTGGAACCTATTTCACCTTCATATTGAGCTCCTCTATTATGCATCTGCAAGCGTCTTTTGCTCCCTAAAGTGGTCTGGTCTAGAAAAATTGTTTTCTTTTAACCTTGTTGGCTTTATGCTGAGGATGACATAAATAATACATATTTAATAATTAAGAAGTAACTGTAGAATGTGGTGGTAAGTTTTCCTTTCTAGTATGATAAATCCCCCAATTTGTAATTTATATTTATATAAATATATTTATTCTTGAGAAGCCTTTGATGATTGTATGAATATGTAACCGAAAGAAACCACAGTAATTAGAGGTTATATATGTGTGTGTGTGTTGGTTGCTCATTTGGGTCTCTTTGTGACCCCATGGACTGTATCCCACCAGGCTCATCTGTGCATGGAATTCTCTAGGCAAGAATACTGGAGTGGGTTGCCATTCCCTTTTCTAGGGGACCTTCCTAACCAGGGATCGAACCTGGGTCTCCTGCATTGCAGGCAGATTCTTTACCATCTGAGCCACCAGAAAGGGTTAACTTTGTTATTTTTAATTCATTGTTAAATACCTCAGATGATTTGCAAAACAGGCACTTTTTTGCAGGGGGCTGTGTGGTATTTTTAAGTAAAATGACTGAAAACATAAAATCCTAAAGATTTTTTTTTTCTTTTCAAATATAAGCACTCCAGATTTATATCTGATGTGCACAAATGGATGGATGTCCAACCCTTAAGAGAAAGTAAGGTGTTATGAGAATCATACATCACCAGCATGTATAATTGCTTAAACTCTGCTGAATCCGTGGTGTTTTAGGGCATAGGGGGAGGTGAGAAAAGGTGAGAAAAGGCTTATTCCTGGAAGGGGTTAGGGGAAGAGGTAATGACGTCTGGTTTCTCAGTGTTCGTAATTAGCCAAGGTGACATCCTGTACAAGATAGTAGAATGCGGAAGACTAGTGGGAAGGAAAGTTGGCAGGAACCATGTACAAAACATTGATTTATCATTTCTGTCTTTCCCATTTATTCTTGATTGTAAAGTTTTCCAAAGTAAATATAATGAATAAGAATCCTTGTAGGTAAATATATGGTTAAGACCATGAAACAGTTCCCTTGAACTTATTACCTATGAAACTCCTTTTCTTTTCAGTGATTAGATGCAACCCTCAGCTTCTTGGGCTTTCCTGGTGGCTCAACGGTAAAGAATCTGCCTACAGTGAAGGAGACACAGGAGATGAGGGTTTGATCCCTGGGTCAAGAAGATCCCCTGGAGGAGGAAATAGCAACCCACTCCAGGATTCTTGCCAGGGAAATCCAACAGAGAGAGGAGCCTGGCAGGCTACAGTTCATGGGGTCACAAAAAGTTGGACACAACTGAGCACATACACACATCCCAACTTCCTGCCCTTAGTAAGTAAAATCTATTCACTATGGCTCAGACAGTAAAGAATCTGCCTGCAATGCAGAAGATGTGGGTTCATTCCCCGGGTTGGGAAGATCCCCTGGTGAAGAGAATGGCTACCCACTCAAGTATCCTTGCCTGGAGAATTGCACGGACAAAGGAGCCTGGCAGGCTACAGTCCATCAGGTTGCAAAGAGGTGGACAGGACTGAGTGACTAACACTATCACTTCTTTTTTTTCCAAAGTCAAAAGAAGGAATTCCATTCCTTTACCAAATTGGAAGCCTTTAAATGTTGACTGTTGTTATCTTAGAGCATAGAAATTGAATCCCACCTCCTTTAAAAAATAGATGTCATTAGCATATGGTAAATGTATTATTACCAAAGTTTTGAATTTAAGATAGCAAATTTATGCAGATGTCATGAGGTAGAATTGCACTTTGTCCATTTTCTTTCTAGAGAAGGACTTGTAACTAGTGAACTTGAATTCCCCTTTATGAATATTTCAGGCAAATTCTATTACTAATTTATGAATAAGAGCTGTGGACTTGGAATCTGACTATTCAGTAGCCTTCTTTGTAGCTTTATTCATTTTCTGGCAGGTGCAAGTGTTTTTACTAGTTTGTTCTCCAGTCACCAAATGCCCCAGTTTTGTTGATATAACTTAGGAAAACTAAATTACAGAAAGTAGGTTAAATTCACAAGCTACTAGCCAAAAAGTTCTGAGCTAAGGTACTCCATCTACCTGACTTACCTGAAACAGCTCTAAGAGAGAAGCTGAGACTTTGACCATTTCTGTTCTCACATTATGGATCAGACTGTAGCATCTCTGCTTATCTTGGTAGTCCTCTGAGGGTCATAGGCAATATGTGAGCTGGCTCCTCCCTAATGCCTTCTGGTTCCTTAAAAGGATTAACAGTCTTTCTTACTCTGGAGAGAAGCTAGGGAAAGTATGAAGAGACCTTGGAGTGGGGAACCCCAGTCACTGTGTGGCCATGAGATTAACAGTGTATAGAGCCAGTTAAGCCTCCATGGTCAATGGAAGGGAAAGAAGGATGGCCATGTGGGATGTTGGCACCAATACTGGGACTGGAGTCAGAAGACAGAAGTTTCAAATATCAGCTCTGCCTTTTGTAAATTATTCTCTCTAAGGCTTCATTTTACCTTCTGAAAGTAGGATAGAAATACTACCTAGCTACTTCATAAAACTGTGAGAATTAAATGAGAGTATATATGAAAGCACTTCCACAATGACTGGCAATGGTAGGTACTTGATAAATATTAGTCATGTATGGATGTGAGAGTTGGACTATAAAGAAAGCTGAGTGCTGAATAATTGATGCTTTTGAACTGTGGTTTCGGAGAAGACTCTTGAGAGTCCCTTGGACTGCAAGGAGATCCAACCATTCCATCCTACAGGAAATCAGTCCTGAATATTCATTGGAAGGACTGATGCTGAAGCTGAAACTTCAATACTTTGGCTACCTGATGGGATGAATTGACTCATTTGAAAGGCCCTGATGCTGGGAGATTGAAATTGAGAGGAGAAGGGGATGACAGAGGATGGGATGGCTGGATGGCATCACTGACTCAATGGATATGAGTTTGAGTAAGCTCCAAGAGTTCGTGATGGACAGGGAGGCCTGGCGTGCTGTAGGCCATGGAGTCGCAAAGAGTTGGACACGACTGAGCAACTGAACCGAACTGAACTGTGACTGCTGAGTTCATGACTCTGTGGTCTAAGTGTCCTTATGAAGTAGGTAGCAAAAGATACAACACTGTGTTTGTGAGATTCGTCCATGGAGTGAGTAGCAACAGTTATCATATTCCCTCTTCTGTATAGTGTTTCATCATCTGAATATACCACAATTTATCTATTCAACTGTTGATGGACATTTGGGTTGTTTGTAGTTTTTGGTTATTATAGACAACACTGGAATGAACTTGAGCACAGACGCCATAAGGAACAAAAGAAGGGCAGTAGGTATGACAGTAGTCAAGGTATTTCAGTAACAGCAACAGAGGCAGAGAATAATCACAGTATGGATAAGAGACCAGGGTTGGGACAACCCAATCAAAAAGGACTAATAAGGCACAGAAATCAAGAATCCAATGCAAGACTGGGATACTTAAACTGGCCACCAGGGATAATGAAAAACCAGTTTCTAAAGAGTTGAGATTATAACTGTTATGGTCTGAATTATGTCCCTGCAAAATCATACCCTGAAGGCCTAACCCCCTAGCAGCTCTGAATGTGACAGTATTTGGAGACAAGATCTTTATTTAAGTGGTAATTAAGTTAAAATGGAGTATTGATGTTAGGGTGGATCCTAATCCAATATGATCGGTATTCTTATAAGAAGAAATTAGGACACAGAAGAAAGGTTGTAAGGAGACACCGGGAAAAGACAGCTGTCTATAAGCCAAGCAGAAAACTGCAGAAGAAACCAATCCTTCTCTCACCGTATCTCAGAATTCTAGTCTTCAGAACTGTGAGCAGATAACTTTCTGTTGTTTAAGCCACCCAGCCTGTGGCACTTTGTTATGGATGCCCTAGTTAACTATTACAATAATGAAACAACTCCCTGTGATTACAAAGTAATCTTACTTTTGTATCTGAGTAAACTGTTTAAAAATATCCAAAGACAATTCAATTACAGGTTTATTTTATTTTAAGCCTTCTCAGTTAATTTCTTCTGTGATTTCTAATCTGATCAAAAGGACTTCTTAGATATGGGAAACTAGAAATGCTAAACCCAGGTGGCCAAAATTGCCACTTTGGTGATATCCCATCTGGGACTATGACCTAAGTAAGTGTCAGCAAGTATTGCCTAAAAGAAATTCAAATGAAGACTATGCCTGGAGTGGAGTGGTCAGCCAGTGCCAACAGGAGTTGTGTGTTCATTCCCAAACTTGAATTGAGCTTTTAGCCACATGACCTCAGATTATACATTTGGAACTTCTTGAAAAGAATTTGCTTGTGAAAAAAAAATTTCTTTTGATTTTGAAATCTGAATGCTTCCAAATTTTTAAGTTAATTCCCAACTAAAAGTTTATTAAATTATATAACTTTTAGAGACTTCAACTAGATAATACATACATCAGCTAAATATCAATATATAATGGTTATGTACATAGACAGAATAATTGAAAAAATAAAACAAGTGGAAAATAATATTCATCACAGGTAGTTTTTTCAAAGATTCTTGCTAATATCTCTGCAGCTTACTGTGGGGGTAGAGCTTACAGCTTGTACAGAATGAAGACGTCACCTGGGTTGATGTCCACAGGGGACTTTAAATGAATCAGGATCTCTGGAGTGCCTGAATGTCTTTCTAACCATCTAATCTATAACTCACACTTCTATTGTTATACAGATGATGTACTAGTTCAGTTTGTTGAGATGTCAAACTTTCTGGCAAAAATCACAGTTTGATTAATTTCAAATGTAGGACACATAATTATAACAATAGATAAATGAAACTTGCTCTTGAAGCTTCCATTTAAGTGCTTATTAAAAAAACAATCTCTCAATTCTCTCTCCCACTGCATGCTTTGAAACCATGAAGGTGAAAGCCTGCATTAGGAGGACAACCAGGTAGGCCATTCTGGCTGGTCAATGTTCTAGAGGTTTTGAAGTCAATATTTACCTGTGCCTAGTCTCATGGCCCATTCTCTGTATTTCGTATTTCTTTTTTTTGAGTTTCTCCTTCAACTGACAAACTGGGAACAGAAAAGACATAGTAATCAAGTTTTCAATTTTTCTCCGGTATAATTCCATCAAGTTGTCAAGGGATACCCTAACCCAGCAGTGTGTGGCAACATGGCTTTATACATATGTGGTTATTGAGGTTAGTTAGGTGTGGTCTGTGTTGACAAAGCATGGGATATGAAGTTGGAAACCCAGGGTGTCAGATATAGCAACAACATTTTGCATTTTTGTGTAACCTAAGGCTGAGAGCTTAGTTTTCTCAATTGGAGAGTGAGATTAGTATTAATAACTGCCTCACTGACTTTGCAGGGTTTTTGTGATGATCAAATAGATAACATGTAAAAGTGAGTATTCAATATGCACTAATAATTTTGTAAATCAGTGAAATCCCATTAGCTAAGTAAATTATTTTCTACAGGGACTTGGGAGTCTACAGTATCTTCAAGAGCTATTTATTATTTTAAAAGAATAATTTGATAAGCCTACACTGTAATGAAATGAAAAAGTTAATGAACTTCCCCTAACAATAGGAAAACAAGGCAAGTCTGGATCTGACCTATTAAGGTAGCAGTTGTAAAATTCCAAGGTACCATTAAATTGCTGATGAATTCACAGACTGTGCTGTGTGCTCAAAGGCTGACAAGTGTAGGGCCATATTATGAAACCCATTCAACCAAAGTTATGTAATCACAATAAAAAGATGACCTTCAACTTTCAAAGTCTAAGAAAGGATTCAACATAGAGGACCTTAAAACTGTCAAAACAGTTCTAGCAGTTCCAAAAGTATGTATTTCTACTAACGAGCTCTCTGGTTTGTCTAATGAATTATAAATAGGCACCACCTTCATATCTTGCTCCTAATTCTGAAGGAGTAGAACAGTTTGGTGGGCCACTGAGTTCATGGAGGTGTTGAGTCATTTCTACACTCTATTTTAGGCAGACTGCCTATATCACCTATACTGGAAATATATCTATAATCTGTGTCTCAAGTCACTATAAATAAGCAGAAGAATGATTTGATAATATTAATTTTAAGTTACCTATGAAGTTTTTCTCAATCTGTTATAGATGAATTCTCTGCTATCCTGTACATTTTCTTTCTCCTGAATCTCAGATACATTATCAAAAGAGATTAAATTAACATTTAAAAGAGATTTGGCCTGAACTCATTTCAACCTTCTAAATAATGCATTATGGTTTAATAGGTTCAAAGAGAAAAGCAACTACATGATACTGATATTTCATTAGATAGACTGAAATTGATTCTAATTCTAGATAGATGTTATGTGTATAGAAG